TGAAATTAGTCTTTGACGGCTAATTTTTCCAATTTCTTTTTCTTTAAATATGGTCCCTTTTACTAAACTAGTGCTCGGATTACTGCACGATGTGGCTACTGGTCAAAACCATGTACCCTGCGTGCACGTTCCATCCGGAGACGTCATCCGGAGCTCTGGATCAGGGTCTGGATCGAGATGTAGTCTCGCCCTTGTTCCGGACCTTTCGTATTGACCGGTAGCCATGTTCGTATCTAGCGTGAAGACTACCTGCGCGAGGTGCCAGCGTAGCAAAAGACAAACACCTGACCACCATATGCTGTCTGTACGGTTGCTTGGGCAGCAACATAAAGGTTACATCTCAGGGACAGGGTACTCCCTCTAAATTCTAAATGGGAAGTCTTCGTGAATCTTGTGGGGCCTGGCGATGCTGCACCACACATACGTCGGAGAAACTAGCACGTTGTGGACAAGTGGCGCCAGAATCTCGTGCGAGCCCAATCCATCAACCTGAACGAGCTGCTCTGAAGTGGATGCTGTGAACGCTGTAGACGTCTCTGCTTTGTGTGGAAACCGAATTGACAAGTTCACGCGATTCCTGCGATTCCTTCGATTCCTGCCTGCTGCTGCCAGGGCAGCTGCTCGGCCAACTCCTCCAGGCGCAGCTGGCTCAGCCTTGGAACTTACAAGGCGATACCGCCCCTTTCAACACGGAAGCTCAGAGCCCGACACGGCTTCCCGAGGCGTCCCTGAAGGAGCTCGGAAGCTGCGGTGCTCCAAAACCTTATACACGACGCTTTGCTCTGTGCTTTCAGCTCAACTTTCGGCGTTTGAGGCGAACACAGCAATGGCCATTTCCCGCAAAACGGCGTGCTGCAACTCCTTCTTCTTCTTCTATGGGCTCTGCGCACTCTCCTCTTCCTCTCTCTTCTTCTTTCTTTCTTTCGTTCAGGCTATGGAGAAGGGGAGGATCCCCCTCTCCGGGCGTCACTGCCCAGCCCGTGTTGGGTCTGTTTGGCTACTTCAAACCTTCGTTGTTCCAGTGCACTGGGAAGATTTGGGCTTTTAGCATAGCATTGTACTAGCATGGGTTTGTAGTTAATTCAATTAAGCTAGACTGCCTAAGGGAATGTTCCTCAGTGCCTGAACTGCAGCACAGGCGGTATCCCTGCGTGCTTTGCCATTTCCTTGCCCATGGCCTTCCCTTGGTTTCTTTGGGGGTACTGTGAAAAACAGCTTACGGAAGACAGGCTAGCCCCTATTTCAAGCATCTGCACAACTATGTTGGCTGCGGCAAGGATGTTGGCTTTCGTGGTTCATAGTGTGGTTGCCGCCAAAACTGTGGTTCGAGCACTTGCACAGCGAAGGATACCCAACTCAGTGAATTGTCTTGGCAGTTTGGCAGCTACCCTGTGAAATGCCCTACCTTGCCAATTGTGGAGTTGGCCAGGGAAATGCACGGTCGTCGGTCAACATGTATTGAGCAACCAAGTGTGAAGACGTAGAAAGCAACATGCTGCGTTGGACAACCCTCTGAGGCCGTGACCATGCTGCAGCACTGTCAAAAGTATTTGTTGTTATTGCCACCATGGTTGTGAACCGTTTGGGGCTACGCTATAAAGGAGACATTTCACTAAAAGTCCTCCCTCTTCCCATTTGGCCATGGTGGTTGACTAACATCTTTCCCCTTCTTCTTCTCCCTCTCTCTCGATGTCACTCATTCTTTCTTTCAGGGCTATAGGGACTATAGGAGACCAGGAGGTCCCTTCTCGGTCTTTTCATTTTCTATGCGCTATACGCAGGCCAAAGACTGCGCGCGTGCGCACGGTCCCGGTACAACCTCGAGAAACTTGCAGAATGCCTTCAGAAGGACGCACTTGACGCGCGGACCCCACCCCATCTTCTTCTTCTTCCCGACCCCGAGCCCCTTAGTCTCAATTCTGTCATCATCATCCTGATGACTCTGTCTCCTTCTTTATTCTAGCGGAAAAATGTTCCTCTTTTCAATGTCTGGCCGAGGAAGGTTGGCGAATCATGATCTCTCCCTAACCAAGATCACCTCTTGGTCTCACTGTCTCTTCTACGTCTACTTCCACGTCTTCTTCTTCATGGGCTAAAGGAGGCTCTACAGCCCCCCGCGGGCACACCCGCAGCCCCGCACGCACTGTCACGGGCAGATGCCAGGTGAA